GCCGTCCGAGTGTACGCCGAGTCCACCACTCAGGAAAAGGCCGACTCTTTGGCCAAAGAAGTGGCAGAAGTTGTGTCCGAATTGGCAGAAAGCGTACCAAACAAATGACAAATGACTTAACAATTACTTAAAAACTAACGGAAACTAAATTTTATTATTAAATTTACAAAATTGTTAATTAGAAGCGTTTATATATTTTGTTATTTAACTAATGGTTTATATATTTGTCATAAATAAATATAAATCACATAAAACTGATTCAAACGACTATTACTTTTAGTTGTTTTGAAAGTTGACAGAATAGCCGCCGGTTTCGCCGTTTTGTGACATTTTAAAGTTATCGGTCGACAGACCGAAAGGCCTGAGCACTAGATTTCCCAAATCCTTCAGTTTGGACATCATCTCAGTCTTCAACCTCTCATTCCTTTCGTTGATCTCATGTCTCAACTCATTGGAGGCGGTCTTCGCTTCGGCACAACTCGTGTCCAATTCAAGCACTCTTTCGTAGTCTTTGAGCGATTCGTCTAATTTGTTGCCCATTTGTCTGTAGATCTGCGCTCTTCTGAGGATCGCTTTGACGTAATGGTCGTCCAAAAGGATGGCTTCGTTGCAGTCATTGAGCGCTTCGTCCAATCGATGGCAATGCAAATGAGCGGCCGATCGGTTCGAGTGGACGACCGCTCGATCGGCGCCGAACTCCGGCGGACACGTGTCCAGCGCTTTGGTATACAATTCAATGCTCTCGTCGTACAACTCATCCCTAAACCGATCGTTTGCCTCACTCTTCAGCGCCAATGATTTGTCGCGCAATTCATTCAACTCTTCTTCCGATAGCACAGCAATCACTTCGTCATCGGATCCGCTCTTTGTCTCATGTGTTGGTGTGTCGACAGTGTCTTCGTAGTCATCATCTGATCCGTTATTATCCATCGTTTCAGACATTACTTGCAATCAATTCATTCACAACTGATTCACCGATTGTTTGTGTTTGAGATCACATGACATACGAGTGAATCCACGTCTCAATAGGTGTCAGCATTTGGTCTCACAAACAGACAAACACTCAATGGTTTGGCAGTGAATACAGAATATGAATACAGTATAGGATATGAATGGATAGGCCTATGGGTTGTGGTATTGGGTCCTCTTGTGGTCCTCTTAACTGATCCGTCTATTATAGTATGGATTGACTGCTGTATTCATAATATCCATAATTACTTACTCTCTATTATCTATTGATTGTCATATGATTTGAAACAAATGTGAAACTCATTAACAAAATTGTTGACAACTTTATCGCAATTATTGTTATAAAGTGTAGAGAATTGAAGAATATATTTATAGTAAAAGTAATTAACTTTTATATACTGTTAATGAAGTTTATTATCCGTTGAGAATCCAATGCTATATACAGTATAGTATAGCCTATACTCCAACTAATCTCAAATCTATACAACTTTTGGTTTAGACTTTAAATTCTAGTCCATTATAAAGAAAACACAATTCATTACATTTGATATGAATGATAGGAAAGCGTGTATTTTTAGAAATGATAGTAATTTCATCGAAACATGTGGCTATCAATGGATATGGTTTTGCACTAAGTTTTGAATCAATTAATTATTTTCCCACACATTTTAATTCAATAATGATTTCAATAGATATGATACTAATAATAATTATTGAGTTAATCAATGAATTAAGTGAAAGCAATGTTTTTGATCGGATGT